CTCTCTCTCTCTCTCTCTCTCTCTCTCTCTCTCTGTCTCTCTCTCTCTCTCGAAGTTTTCTTATATGATACCGAACAGTCAGTTATTTTGTCATGACATGTTAGCGTCATATACATGATCTGTAGTTTATCCTTTTATGAGATAAGTGCATATATATAATCTCTCTCCTCACTCATGAAAAAGGAAGAGTAGGAAAATGTCATGGAAGAAAATAATTTTATGCATTAGAAGGCTCCCACTTCATATTTCTGCTTTTTTTTTTGTTTTTTTGGTAATAGAAACTACTTTGTTTTTCATTTATTTGTTTTGGCAGGAGACAATGTTGGTGGACGGGAAAGAAGAAGGATCCGGTGGCAAATCACGGAAGATAGTTGTTGTCAAACACTGCAATATAATTGAGTCGAGCTTTTGGGAGGCACATCCAGACATACTTGACGAGAAGCCTCATTGGTTTCAGAATCCTTTGTTGCAATAGTTTTGGGCTGATGCGCGAAAAATTACACAAGCGATGTATATTTGATGGTTGCGCAAGGTAAATAGGTCTTGAATTTCAACGACATTTTTACATTGGCTTGCTCTGTATATCTAATCCTTTTGACAGTAATTTCACAGTATTTCCTTGAGTCATGAAAATTTACTCCACCCAACTCAACTTACGAGTGACTTTTCTTCTGTAAATGCTATAACCGAGTTATCTGAGTGTTAAATTTTATTTTCTATTTCTTTTTTTTTTTGGGTTTTCAACTTGTCATTGGGATATACTTTGAAGTGACTAACACAATAAACGTAACATGCTTTTGTAAAAAATCCGCCTTGATTACTATTATTATTAGACATATTTTAGCAATAATAACTTGTGATGCTGTTATGCTTAACTGAAGAACATGAGTGAATGTGCTTTTGGGAAGAGTTGCAACTTTCTGTTCTTTTATCCTAGATGCTTTTTGTTTGAAAATTTTGTTTTATTTTATTTTGTGTAAGGTTTTTTATGCTTTCGATATATATTGATGACACTCCTTGTTGAACGATGAATGTGTAAAACGAGGTTCTTTTGCTGCCTTAGATATCTCACCACGCGAACTTGAGCCTTCTCGAAAATATTGAGAGCAGCAAACAAAGAGATGACGAACTTTGTGTTCAAACAAAGATGGATAGGAAAATGGCTTCAGCCATGGGCTGGAAGGGTGACGAGAGCGTTTTCATCAAAATGATGAAGAATAAAATCTGGGCGAGACTACAAGTTATCATGCGTCTCTTTTTCATCTAGAATTTCTCATAAGACACTGATTATTTTTTGTCAAACTGGACTACATTTGCTAACACCAGCACAACAGTTTTGCGTCCTTCTGTTTGAATTGATGCTTGAATTATGTGGATTGAGTCGGGAGTGTTTTAATGTTGTAAATTATCACTCTTAACGATAGGCAAATTTTCGTGAATGCATCGAAAACAAAAGCACAGTTCATTCTAACTTGTTTTCGATCCTTAATCAATTCAAAGTGCACTGATTTCAGCTTAAGTTATTACACAGATGTTGCAGATTGTCTGTGAATGTTTTGATTCAGTTTGACTACTTTTAGCATATTTTACCTTACTAATTTGATTTTGACCCGCCAGAATTTATACTTGTTTTATTGCAAATGGAGCTGGAAGAGTCACTGTTGACAATTCTCTTAGCATAGTGCTAATGATGAATTAGATCAAAATGCTCAATTAAATTCTAGTGCTTCTTCTATTAGTGAAGTTTTTAGAAAAGAAATATATCAAACGACGCAATGCACCTTGGGTCGCTACGGAAACAACCTCCTTGTATAATTACAAGGGTAAGTCTGCGTACAATTGACCTTCAGACCCCAATCCCAACCAGTTGGAAATATACTGGATACGTTAGTTGTTATTTTTCCATTTTACCTGTCAGAGTTGCAGTGTATTTTTATGCATACCTCAGAAAGAAAGTTTAGATGTATAAATCAAGCAAAACTAATACTCAAATAGTACATTTACACATTACCTCTGAAACAAATTCAGATGGTCCTCCTCACTTCACACACTAACTACTGACTGACCGATGAATCCTCTGAATCTCCAACCCTAACCTTAAAATGCAAACTCGAACCCTCAGGCAAACCCAAAGGCGGGCCCTCGCACGTACAGTTATCGACATCAAACAATTCCCACTCCTCAACACCACACGAGCCGAGTGCAAGTGCAAGCCTCCGTTTATGTCTCTCGTCAGGGTACAAACCGTCCGGGCTAACGAGCACTGCCCCAGTGTATGACTGCCCGGCCGCCCGAGCCGCCCCATGATAATGAAACAAACCCCAACTCAAGTCATCACTCACGTCCACAATCGTCCAAAACTCGTTTGACACCACTCCATTATCCAACACGCTAAAATTAAAAGTCCCAGGCACTTTTCCCCTCTTCACGCGGTATTTTCTCCTCCTCCACACCAAATCGCCGTCGAGCGTCCTGACCTGAAAAACGGGCTCGTACCAAAATGACCCTTTTGCCCTTCCCCTGTAAAAAAGCTGGTACTGGCAAGGGAACTGGTCGTAGGCCGGGTTCTGACCGGCCACGACTCGCCAGCTCCAATCCAAATTCCCCAACCAGCCCACGAAAAGATCCTCGGCCGTTTCGTGATCCAAATACTCCCTTCGGAACCGAGACATTGGGCTCACATGGGGTTTTTTCGGAATCTCAGCGTCCAACTGAAGACAATTGTTCTTCTGCAGCACGCATAAAGAGAACTCTTCGAGACATGGGCTCTCATACGAGGCTATGCAGCGGTAGTTGCACACTTGGTCCACCGGGCTGCACTTGTTCAGGCACTGAAGGGCTTTTCGGCAAATTGGGTCAAGAAGACAGTTCAATATCTGGGGCCCACAGTTTTTCACCATGCAGTTCAGAGTGGAGAAGCCCTTTGCTCTTAGGTTCTTGAGTATGGGAACGGGTCTTATGTAAGCGTTTATAATTACGAGCAAACAGAACCTTATGTCATCAGAGTTGTGTCTCTCCCAAGATTCAAACACGGATTTAATTACATCTTCCGATTCTTTTAACTTCTTCGGTCGAGGCAATAATGGCAGTTTGGATTTGGTCTGGATGAGGGTACCCCCTAATTTGTTCATCAGATTTGGAGAGGAATCAAAGCAAATGACGTTTGGGGCAATCTCGTAATTGGATTGAATCCATTTTACGGAATCTTCATTCGAAACGGCCACAACTATCAAAATATTTGCTTGGCCAAGCTCCTGTGCTATGGTATTATTATTATCATCAGCAGCTCGTAATAAGCTGTCGGTGAAAACCAACATTTCAAACCCTTCATCGACCCATTTCAACCTTTTGGCCTGGTTACACAGAAAGAATTAAAAAATAGCCATGCATCGCAACAACATATCAGCCAAACATGCAAATTCTTAGTTGAATAAATCAACACTAATTTGCTAAAGTAGTAACGGAACAAGTAGAGGCACATTGGACAATATGAAATATATTGTACTCAGTTCAAAATTCAGTCTTCTGAAACAACTTAATCCCAGAAAGAATCTTAAGTTACAGTGTATAGAAGTTTACATCAACATATACGGACCAATAAAATTATTTCACAAAGGCCAAGAATCCTACATACATTTTGCAGTTCTACATGTTAAATGGTAAATAAAGTTGGTTCTTTGACATTATAAAAAGAAAATGATTTCCAAAGGGGATTTCATTAGCTCATTGGACACCATTTATTCGCATTCCAGACGAAGCTTCAGATTATGCAAAGTAATAGAACCAACTTATAATTTACTCAAGTCCACATATAAGGAGAAGTTGCAAGCTATCAATAAATCAACAGAGGGACACCCTTGGCATTTTTTCATTCTACTTAGAGCTGTAAACGAGCCGAGCAAAGCTCAAACTCGTGATACTTAAGCTCGGGCTCGAGCCCTCATCGAACCTAGTTGTGAAGTTAACTTGCCCATAAACAAGTTCGAGCTCGCTTGTTAACGATCCTTAATGAGTAGAGTTATGCTAAAAGTTCAGAAAATCAAGTAAAACCCCGTATTACCAAGCCCAACAAGCTGAGCAGACAAACAAGCATTAATGGTCTGAGCCAAACCGAGCTCACAAGCGGCTCGTTTCGTTTAACAACTCTAATTCTACAGCAAATGCAACAATTGAAGTAACACGAAAAGAAGATTACCAGGGAAGAAAAATGCAATGTCCAACTGAAGTTTCACCTAAATGAGACTTCTAAAAGATTATTTTCTAAACAGAATGGCTTAATGTACTTACAGTGTGGAGCATGACGTCATACCAAGGCGTGGACTTAAGCGGGCTGATGCTACCTTCCCCAACAAAAGCCA